GCCATGCATGCAAGTGTGTGTGTGTGTGTGTGTGTGTGTGTGTGTGTAGCCCGTGCGTGCATGCACACACACACACACACACACACACACACACCCCACACACGCCCCCCACCTGGTCCTGCTCCGAGTCGTAGTCCTCCTCATCGGGACTGGCTGACATGGCCATCTATCTCATCACGGGCAGCCCAGCAAGGGCCGGGCTGGCATGGCTGGCAGCCGGTGTGGGAGTCTAACCCGGCTGTCCGGCCTTCTTCGGCAGCGGCGCTCCTTCCCTCTCCTTACTCCCAGTGGGAGGAGGAAGAGGAGGAGGAGGAGGAGGAGGAGGAAGAGGCGAGAAGGCCCTCATCCATATGCATGAGGGCCCCAATGGAAACCAGGAAGGGGCTGAGCTTCCTCCGCTGCCAATGGCGAGCTAACCCGGAGTGGAACAAAAGACAGGCTCTCCATTGGCTGCCCAAGCCAGCCCCGGGGGGGGGGGGGGGGGGGGGGGGGGGGGGGGGGGGGGGGGGGGGGGCAGAGGGAGGGTCTTTGCTGGAGGAGGAGGAGGAAGGGGGCCTTGCAAAGCTCCCTTCCTTCCTTCCTGGTGCAACAGCGGAGGGAGGTTTTGCAACGGGCTATACGATTTGTGCCCACCCGCCAACGGAAGCGGCGGCTTCCTTTCGGGGCTTGGGGGGCTGCAGAAGCAAAAGATGGGGTTTCTTTTTTTTAAAAAAAATGAAATGTTTTTGCATGCATGCCAACCCCCCCTCAAAAAAAACCCCCACTTTTGCTTTGGTTCTGCAGCTTGGAGTCCCACGGATGTCAGGAGGTCTCTTCCCTCCTCCTCCTCCTCCACAATCAAACCCCACCAGCAGCCCTGCAATAACTCACAATCGATAACTCACATATCGCCTGATTTTTTTGGGGGAGGGGGGGGGCACTAAACCTTGAACCTGCCTTCATTATTAGGCGCCCTTAAAGGCGCAAGATTTTAAAGCAACAGCCGCCCGCTTAAAGCAAGGGCACTTCCCTACGTGGAACTGCGAGCGGTTCAGGGAAAACAGCGTTGTGTGGTGCACCACGAACCACAAAGGGAGCTAAACACACACACACACACACACACAATATGAAATTATGCCAAAACATACTTTGGAAGGAAAAAAAAACCCAAACCCTCTCTTTTTGGGGAGGGGAGGTGTTGGAAATCTCTTTGCGGGATAAAAACAGCCTTGACTTAAGGATTGAGGCCTGCAACCGAAAGAAACCAGGATCATGGCCTACCTTTGCGTTTTTCTTAGGCCAGGATACCACGGGAATCCCAGATATGGCCAAATTCTGGTCATCCTCTGCATGTTCCTTCAGGATGTTCTGTTTCCAAAGGAGAGGAGAGGAAGAAAAGGAAACGTTTGGCTTTTGCGAGGGCTGACTTCACACAATCTCCTGCATTTTAGGCTTCGTTTAAAAAAATCATCGGGCTTCACAAACCATGGCTTATTTAAGGTTGCATGTGGGTGGACCCAGCCATGTCGACTTATTCCATAAATCATAACAAAGCCTATTTTGGGGGCTGGTCGTTCCACATACAGCAAATCAAGGTGATTTAATTGGATTTGGGCTCGGCCTATTGCGTGAATTCCTGCAAAAACCCATCCATTCTGGCTTGGGGTGGCCCCGAGGCTTTCCCCATAAATTAAAAACAATTTGCAAAGCCAGAGAATTGGGGCTCCTCTCTTAAATGCTTCAAAGACCTTGTGGAATGGCACCCCCCGTACCCTAAAAATTAATTAAGGATTTTCTGCGTTTTCCAGAGGGAGAAAAAAAAGGCAAAGCCCTCATTCGTTCCTGAAAGAAAAATAAGAAAGGGCCTTACAGATTTCAATTTTCCAATTATTAAATTTAAACCCTTGAGTGGGCTATTGTACCATATAATCCCTTCTTTTTTTAAAAAAAAAAATTGAAATGCAAAAGAGGGTAAGGAAAGAAAAGAAACAGAAAGGGAAATAGGTTTTAAAACTGCATAGTAAAAACAGGATTAAAACTTTTGGGTGAGAGAACCACTCCTCCCCACCCTTCCTGTGAGAAGCTCCTACCCATAAATTTTACTTTACTGTACTATACTTTATTGTCATTGGACCTCGTACAACGAAATCAAGCACTATCTTCAGTGCACACCATGACCATGAAAATAAACACAAACACACATCCTTCACCCTTCACACATTGAACCGGAAATCCACACCACACCAGCACTGCACTATACAGGAGAATTCAACAGAGCTCCTGCCCTGGGATAGAAGCTGTTTTTCAGCCTATTTGTCCTTGTTTTTATTATTATTCTGTACCGCCTGCCAGATGGTAATAGTTTAAAAAAAGGGTGCCCAAGATGAGATGGATCTTTAATAAGAATGTTTTGAACTTTCTTAAGGCAGTGGGAGCTCTAAAGCTCTTCCAAAGAGGGGAGAGGGCAACCCAGGATCTTCTGGGCAATGACGTTAATCCTCTGGAGCATCGTCCTATCTGCCCCTGTGAAATTGGCAAACCCTACACAGATGAGTAGTAAGTTAAGATACTCTCTCTGGTGCAGCGATAGAAGATCAGCAGCAGTTTTACATTCAGTTGTTGTTTTCTGAGAAGTCTCAGGTAGTATAATCTCTTTTGACCAGGGCTGCAATGTGAGCCCCCCCCCCCCCCCGCCCCAGGTCAGGTCCTCTTTTAGGGTAACACCCAGAAACTTAAAACTGGCCACTTGCTCTACTCGGTCTCCATCGATAAGCAAAAGGGCTGGAGGTCTGATCTGTTCCCGCACATCAAACATGAATGAGGGTTGCTAATTCCCACTTGGAGTCCTAAACATTACAGTTAAAATGTAAACCTATGAGAGGACTCTACCACTTGCCTGAAGGAAATGGGAAATTTATTTTCTCCTACAGTCTCCAAAAACCACCATCTGACACCAACCATAAATAGGGTTTGTTCTCAAATCGCTCAACACAACACAATCCTGCAATCTACTTGAATGGGCATGGTTAAAGCCTGTCCTCACAGCACTAGCTAAGCCATGGTTTAATCACTGGGTTGTTTTTTTTTTAAATAGGTGGGTCCACAAATCCATTACACGTGTGCCTCTGAACCTGGTGCCTTCTAAATACCATGAGACCTCAACTCCAAGCCAAAAGCCCAAGAACATGCACTCAACCAGGGGGCTCCAACCTTGGCAACTTTAAGAGATTTGAACTTTAATTCCCAGAGTTCCTCATGTGGACTTCAACTCCCAGAGTTCCTCATGTGGACTTTAAACTTCCAGAGTTCCTCATGTGGACTTCAACTCCCAGAGTTCCTCATGTGGACTTCAACTCCCAGAGTTCCTCATGTGGAATTCTGGGAATTGAAGTCCACACGTCTTAAAAGTTGCCAAGGTTGGAGACCCCTGACTGAACCATGAGCCACGGCTTACAAATGACACCGATTGGGATCCAGGCTAAACCACCAACCAACAAACCACATCTCAGGTCTACAGAAGGACACGCTTTCCTGCTACGCACCTTCATATCTTCCAGGAGAGCTTGAGGATCGCCAATGCCTTCGGGGACACATTTCTTGTTCTCCGGAAGGGATTCCAGTTTTTCCACCAGGGCCTTCAAACCTTTCAGCTCAAATTCGGTCAAGTGAGTCCACTTGGCGGGCACCTCCGTGGCAGGAGACCCAGTGGGAGTTTTCGAATAGTCCACCGTGGCTGACTTTATACTTTCCTCCGACTCGTTGGACAGAGTCCTTTTGAAGAAGCGCGATTTTGGCTTCTTCCCCAATGTCTCCTTCCCCTCCGAGTGTGTGCTGTTAGGAGAAGAGGGGACGTCGGACAAGATCTTGGGGACTTTGTCGGGACTGTTATCCTTGTCTTCCTGAGCACGAACATCGCACGAGTCCTCATCCATGTCTCCCCAGGAATCGGACGAGAAACTATCCAAGCTACGTTTCCTGGAGGTATCTGGGAGCAGAGAAGAAGACAAATTAAGAATTGCGCTGGAACAATGTTGGAAGGGCGAACGAATGCCAACAAATAATTTGATTACTCGGAAAATACTTGACCGTGCTGAAATGGACTTACTTACACAAAAACTTAGGAATAAGGAAGACTCAAGATATATTACAACTTGGGATAAATGGTATAAGTGGATTAAAGAGAAAAAAACCAGGAAATTAAAAGATATGTTTTTGATGAATGGAGTAGTTAAATTAAGAATGTTTTACCAAATAAGAAATGAACAGTAGTAAAATTATTACCAAGAAAAAAGCACACCGTCTTAGTTGTTTAGAAGCATTTTATATGTTTATTTATTATGTATTCGTATATATAGATTTTGTCTACAATGTAAGGTTGTATTTGATGTATTATACACAGCATTTTTCTTTTTTTAATCTGTAATAAAGTTTTCTTTTTAATTTTTTTTTTAAATTAAGACCTTCCGGAAAATCGAGACCTCTTAGTAACAACCACCAACGTTCTAGTTCAACTTCAACCTCAATTATTTCTGTCTTTTCAAAAGCTGGTTTATTCCACCAAATCTCTGCTCTTTAGAGACTTCACGCATGTCTTTGGAGTTATTGAGTTATCCAGCTCAGTCCCTAACTTGAAAAAGTTTCTGCAACCAAGAGTAGCTTTCCCTCTCTCGTCCCTGCTACTCCAAGTAACACGCTGAATTTACTTACCAATTAACATTGATTCTTGTAGATACTCCTTGCTGAAATGAGAGCGCTGCGTCAGACAGAATACGTATCTCTCCAAAACATACCAACACATTTCATAGTAAAACGGGTAGCGGAACTTGGCTTGTACCTGCGGAGGGGAAAAAATAGGACATAGGAACATGTCTGAATGTGGGCCAAATTTGCTCAGATGGAGGCAGAAAAGTAGAGAAGCTATCTTCAACAACAACAAAAAAAGAGCTTTTTCTTTGTCAGCCAATTGACCAACAATCTACACCTTCCTGTGAGAGGTAATTTATCAGACAGAAGGATTCCATTTAACTGAGATGTTTTATCTTGCCTGAGTTGACGTCACAATCACCATTAGCCATGGTTCTCTTGAGCCACCATTTGTTGAAGAAATCACCACACCAGTTGGATCCATAGGCTGGGCCAAAGCATTAACTGTTGTTTCCAAACCGGAGTGACCGGCTCACACAACAAAAACACCAACCAACCAACCCATGACACTTTCCTTTTCAGTGGTGTGATTCGTTCTGCCTGATGTTCTCATTCTTCGGACGTCTAAAGTCACATCAGAGCTGAGTGACCAAGAGGCCAGCAGAGGTCTAAATCTTGCCCTCAGGAGCATCCATACTCAGGTTCAAGAAAGTCAAGGTATGCATATTTTATTTTTATTTTTTTTGGACAGACCCACACAATCATGCACCTCAGCAGAGATCACTGCATGTGCTGCCAATTATCTTAAGAGGGTTGACCTTAGCTTTGGATCTGGACAACCACAGAATAAATTCAATATATTTGCTTCTTCATGGCTAAAGGACAGAACTAAGAGCCCTGGCAAACGTGTGGGGATCTGAGGGACTCACAGCTTTTGCTGGGAAGGTTAGGATCCTGCACCCTGGTCGGAAGAGACCTTGAAAAATTCTACCTTCTCCTCCATTCCCAAATATGTGTAATTGCCACTCACATTTGGGGTATCGGAGACCCCTCCCTAACCTGGAGCAAGAGTTACAAGCCTCAGGCTTCCCAGGAATTCTCTCACTCCTTGCCTATTCAGAAGGGATTTCCAAAATTTGGGAAGGACAGGCCTCACCAAAGTAAAAAAAAAAGAAAAAGAGCGACGTTCATAAAAGGAACTCAAATCATGCATTTTCTCCGTCCCGTTTAATTTCACGACAACGAGAGCACTGCGGGGAAACGAAAATTTGCAAAGAATTTGACTTACAAATAGGAAGATGCCTCTTTCCACCCCTCGGCCTTCAAAAGGTTTTCAGCCACATGCCTGGGGAATATATCAAAGACATCGTTTGCTCAATGCTTTCCTGACATTTGTCTTTTTTCTTTTTTCTTTTTATTTTTTTGCAATTCACCAAATTTAGTTTTGCTTCTTTTTTTTTAGGGGGGGGGAGGCGAATGGGGGAAACCAACGCTTTTTAAAAAAAAAAGAAGAAGAAAAATAAATAAACGCTGAAGACAAAGAAAAAAGCATGCAGTGCTCCCCTGCTGTGGAGGGGATCAAACTCTCAGCATCAGGTTTGAGTTCCTAATAATTTCGCCTCTCTGGACTCCGTCCCACGGCTAGCTGTCTCTCCATTTCACTTTTGCACATCTGCAAAGTCGCAGGTATGAGGCAGACATTTGCACACACACACCCAAAAAAGGGCTTCCCCCTTGCAAGCCAAATGTTGCGGGGAGCTAGAAAGAGCTTAACGCTTTTTCTCTTGCCAGTTTTTGAATTACTTTTGAATTATTACAATTTTGAATTGTACGATAGTTGGAAAGGACTTTCTGCTCAGAGTAGCCTTCTCCACTGATCCAGGAAGGTGGCTGCTCTGGTGAGAAGGTGAGGGATGTTTCAGAGTTGGTCCCTCAGCAACTAGCCACAATCTGCACCTTCCCAAGCAGTCTCACGCCGAGCTACACATTTATTGTGGGTCAAATCACGAGAGATTTGGCCATCCTTCCATGCCCCAAGGAAGACGAAATCTGGGATTCCTGCAAGAATCCAACTTTGGCTTGGGGTTGGCATGACAGTACATGCCCGGCGTGGAGAAGGCAGGTTCTTGGGAAAGGAATTTAGACAAGGAAGGGATACAGGTAACAACTGTTCACCTGGAAACACAAGGAGAGCAGAAATAAGGCACAAAGGATCTTAAGGTTGCCTCCCTTGGATAGTCATCTTATAGGCCCTTTAGTGCAGGGGTCTCCAACCTTGGTAACTTTAAGACTTGTGGACTTCAACTCCCAGAGTTCCCCAGGGTATGGCTTCTCTAGAGAACAGACTCTATGGTTTCTGGAGCTATGCTGGCTGAGGAATTCTGGGAGTTGAAGTCCACAAGTCTTAAAAGTTGCCAAGGTTGGAGACCCCTGGCTTAAAGCATTGGTTCAACCAACCTACCGAACTCCAGCAACCATAGAGTTTGTTCTCTAGAGAGGCCAGACCCTGGGGAATTCTGGAGTTGAAGTCCACAAGTCTTAAAGTTGCCAAGGTTGGAGACCCCTGCTTTAGTGGACAATGTTTGAGAAGAAGACCCAAACGAGAGACATCACATCCAGGCTCATCAGCCAACCTCGCTCCATCTTACATACATTTTCACACCGGCCTTCTGCTGTTAGTCTCTTCTGTTCTGACTCAACTTGACCATAGTTATGATTGAAGGCTATGAGTAAAGATGGGCCTCAGACATTTTTCAGACAGGACCTCTTTTTTCCCACACACTTTGGAGAAGACGCCAGCCTCTCGTTATCTCAAGGTTTTTTTTTTTCAATGATCTTCAACTTGCCTTTCGAAAACCAACTCAGGCTGTAGATATTCCAACCGTCCTAACTTATTTTCTTAACTGCCCTCTGCGTTGCAACGGAAACCTACTACACTCTGTTGGGAATTAGAAGCCTGATCCTGTCAAGTCGAGATGGACCTGTCATTGGAAAATCAAGGCATTTCTTCCGATCTTCTTCTAAAAGAGGTTTGGTCCCAACAAAGGACACAATGGCATTGGCATCAACCTTGACGATGGGTTGGAAAGGCCCAACACACCTGGAACAGCAAGATACAGGTGTGCCCCACAGCAGGAACAGGGATAGCGATGATGCATTGGGGGAAGTGGGGGGGAATTCCCAGAATTCCCTAGAAACAGCTGATCAACAGAGTTTGATTTGGTGACTTACCAGCTTTTAGAGAGCCAATCAAACAGTTTCCATGACAAAACCCAACATTCCAAACTCTGGAGGGAACCAATCAGAAACAAGGGGTGGAGCTACAGTTCTTCACTCCTAGCACCCACCTGTTGTGGCCACTGCCTTGACTTTTTTGGACTCCTGTACCAAGGATGCTCCTGAATGGCGAACCATCACTGCTAAATCATCCGAAGATGAAAAGGTCATCTTCCTGTAACTCAATGACTTAAAGCCCACTATAGCAAATATCCATGACAAAAACCCAGATCAAACCACCATCAAAGAGCTCGGTGTGTTGTGAAAATTCAAAAAACAAAACAAAACCTGGCTTGAATAAACCTGGTTGACTTCACCAGGTTCTCATCATGGGCAGGCAAATAGAGGCTGAAAGTAAACACTCATTACATTTATGACTGTATTGGGGAAAACGAGTCACTGACACTGGTCTGTAACCCTGGGAGTAGAGGCCTTCCAGAATTCCAGAGTGTGGGGACACATCCCCAAATCAAAGCTTTATCCAACATCATCTCAAAGCAAACCGCTGACGCTTCTTCAAGAGCATTCTTTAGCTCGACAGCGTGATGCCCAAAGTAGCCATTCTCCTGGGGAATAAGAGCGTGTTAAGTTGTCAAAAGCCCACCCCTACAAAGACCAATATTCCCCTGAAAATCTGGGAATTGGTCAGAATTCCGATTGTTTTCCCCACAAGAACAGAAGCCAGGCCGTGAAAGGTTGCGCTTATTAACTTCAAAGAGAATTAGATTCCCATGTGCTGCGGTAAGCCATAGTTGGGTTAAACCTGGTTGGCTAATAAGATGGAACAAGCGGAGACTGCAGAATCCGTTAAAACAACCGGCCTCTCCATCCTGACAACAGTGATGGAAAGTATATTCTCAGGTGGTTTGTAAATCATAATTTATGGCTTGGCAGGTTATGTTAAGCCATTCTGGTTGATTCTACTATAATGCATGGCCCAGAAGGATTGAGAATGCGGTCAGTTGTGATCACGCAACAAGCCGTTGCTAAACTCCATGGGTGAACCCAACCATTAAGTTTATCCAAACTGGTGCCCAGTTAGCCAGGGAAGACCAGTTCTCCACCAGCTTGCTCTGTTCTGAACCTCAGCCTTTACTCTTCTGGGTTTTAGAATTGCAGCATTACAGTCCAAATACCTGAGTGCCTAATCCCAAAAGTTTACAGACCAAGCAACGTTTCCTTTGAACCACTCCAGGCACCCCGGTACCTTCTGCAGAACAAACTATGATCCAATACCTTAAGCCAAAAATCTATGGAGTCCTTACCCTTGTTCTGTCCTCAATTTCATAAATGCGAAGCTGCATGGGAACATTAAAGCTATGCAAGATATTTCCACCAAACACCAAGGAATCCACAGGGGTGTAAACCGCATGTATCCAGCCTAGAAAGATAGAGGAGAGAGGAAAGGATTCACATCACAACAGTCATGTTGGGAATGAAGTCCAGCTCTTGTCTGTCCTACAAAACTGTGTTTTTCTTCAGGATCTGCCTCCAAAACCTTTCTGTTCAAGCTTCAGCCACTGAGGCAGCACGAGCCCTGAATTGAGAATAGGGTATAAATCATTAAACTACCAAGAGGTAGAAAATGCCAGGATCAGGGATGTCCAACATTGGCAACTTCAAAACTTGTGGACTTCAACTCACAGAATTCCCCCCAGGCAGCCATTTTATGAAATTCTGGGATTTGAAGTCCAAAAGGTCTTATTAAAGTTTCTAAGGTTGGACACCTCTGGCCTACATCATCTCCATAGTCAGCAGAAAAAGGGGACATTGCAAGGAGATGTCCAGAACCAACAGAATGGGGTTGCAGCTTTTTTATGCCATCATTTTCTCCCAGTGAGAATGTTAAGGTTCATTATCCGTTCCATCTTTCTTCCTTACTCTGGATCTAGCGATGGAGGCCCACCCAGTAAAGGGTTGATCTTGAAAAACCGGCTCCTGGCTCTGAAAGGGGATTTACCTGAAGGAATGAAGAAAGTGTGTCCTTGTTTCAGTTCGATTCTTTGGCACAGCTCCACGCGGTCCCCCAGGAAAATGTCACTCTGCTTCCCAGAGACAACCCATTCCTCGTAGAGTTCTAGGTTCTGCAACGTGGGAGGAA